AGACAGTTTGTTTGCAGAAGGGGGTGGGATGGACAGGAGGAGGTGCTCAGGTGGTGGTGCTGTGCAGCCCGGTCTACAGCTGGGGGTCGGGGATCACAGCTTTATAGGACAGGTTTCTAGGCGCTGGTTTGGCCTTTTAATGCAAAGTTCTCAGGAGGTTCCTCAAGATGCTCTGCCATTTACAAAGTCCATAAAATCTCAGGAACACGGACAAGCACAAGACAAGATCCTGACTGCAAAGCAACTGCTCACCGTGTGGACAAGGTGCAGATTTGCGCACATTTCTACAAACAGGAAGAAGAAATGGGAATATGACTAACAGCCAAATCATCCCAGGCTGCCCCTTCCCTCAGCTGGCCAGCCCATCCGTCGTCCATCTGTGACTTGAGGAAGATGATGGAACAGCTTCTACCTAACAATGAGAATCACCAACCCCCCAAAACTCAAAACCAGTGCAGCTGTATAATTTACTGGGGGGAAAGAACCTTTAACCCCCCCCTGACAAGGGCCTGGAGGAATGGGGAGCATTTGCTGGGTGGGGGATCCCATCGCCTGCCTCCGGGGCATCTTCATCCAACTCAACAGGCCACCATCTCCTTCCACTCTCCCTCTCTTTTTATCACTTTTGTACAATCTGTCATAGCTTCTGTGGTTGATTTCTCTGAAATACCATTTGCTTCCTCCCTGTCACTGCCCTTTTTCCTGTGCTGTGGCCACACACACCCTGGGGGCAGAGGTGCCAAGCCAAGGCAAACCCCAAATTTCTCCATCTTTGCTGCATACAGCTTCTGAAAAGCCAGCTCTCCTATGAATACATCTCTGCTCAGCAATCATGGGGGCCCCCAGGCACTCAGGACCGAGGTATTAAGACCCTCTTATCATTGGCCTCCTTACACACTCCCCTAGTTTTATTTCCTGGGACTCCCCAGTACATGCCCCTACTCTAGTTGCCGGTATATCTGTGTCTTTGTTCAAGCTGTATCTGATTCTGGGACTGTCTTTTCTCCTCCCCTACCTGTTTCTTGTTGCTTGTTAGGACCTACGGGGGGAGAGGGACAGGAATGGCAGAGTTAGAGGCCTGCTGTTTCCCCAGTCCTCTCTTTCTCTTGGGGTTCCCCTACCATTCCAACTCCATCACAAGGATGCCCACTGTAGACAGCCCTGGACTGTCTAGCTAGGGGAGGCAGGGTAGATGCCTTGGTCTTCCAAGCCAGAAAGGGAAAAAGCCGATGTCGCTAATGTTTACTCCCCTGTTGCTTCTTAGGAAAGACTCTCAACTACTCCCGAGAGGATACACCAAGCTCTAAGATTTCTGAGAGATGGATGGTAGGTTTGCCAAAGGAGAAACTGCCAAGCTGAGTCTCTGGAATGAGTCCAGTGTTCCATAAACCTTGCCTTTTTCCTAATCATAGAAAGATCCATAAAATGACAGAAAGGCTGAGGAGACCTGCAGGCGGCAGAATGACCTAGAAGCATCATTCAGTGCTTCCTGAAAAACAGAAAATGCAGGAGGAAACAACTCCCGTTCCCTGCCCGCACCACATGCGTGCAGTGGGGAGACCTCTGGAAGAGTCTCTTGAAGGGGTACAATAAATAGTGAGGGGTCTGTGGAGATGTCCTCACTCTTCTGCCGAGTGACGGGAAGGTGACCATGATGGGCAAAGGTGGAAGGGAGGAGGGTCAGCACCTCTGGGGCCTCCTGCCACCTTGAAGGGAACAGGTTTAGCAGTGGAGTAGGGGGTGAAGGGAAGGGGATTGCCCCCACTTCTATGTGGAGCAGCATGAAAAAAGAAACGCCTTCATTTCCAGTTAGCTGGACAAGGGGCCCTTTGCTGTCTACAATTCTCCCTAGGGTGGAGGAGAGGGTGGTGAGAAGTGCAGATTGGAATGTCCTCATTTTTTTTTTTTTTTGAGACAGAGTCTCACTCTGCTGTCCAGACAGAGACAGAGTGTCGTGGCATCAGAGCTCACAGTAATCTCAAACTCCTGGGCTCAAGTGATCACCCTGCCTCAGTCTCCTGAGTACAGCTGGGACTATAGGTGCCTGCCACAACATCTGGCTATTTTTTAGAGATGGGGTCTTGCTCTTGTTCAGGCTGGTCTCAAACTCCTGAGCTGAAGCAATCCTCCCACAGTGCTAGGATTACAGGCATGAGCCACTATGCCTGGCCACCATCTTCATCTCTTGAGCTGGAAGATGGATGAAGATGAGAAAGAGGTAAATTGAAAATACCCCTCAACACACACATGCACACACTAGCGAGAATGAGACCAAAAAGGAGAAAATTCCAAACAAATCTCTTTAAGCAATTATATTAATGCAATAATAACAACAAAATATTAATCACCTTACACATGCCTAATGCTTTATATTTTATAAAGCTGGGGTCTGTTGTTCAACAATCTTCTTACAACAATTAATCCAATCAAGTGATAGTCAAAGTAGCTACCATTTGCTGAATGATTTCATGTATTATTTGATTTAATTTTTGTAAGTCCTGGTAGTACTGTTGTTTTCTCCATTTTACAAAGAGGGAAACTGAGGTTAGAGAGGTTAAGTAACCTTAACCTTGCCCATCCGGTGAAGATGGAAATCCAGGTCTGTCTGATTCCAAAGTCCAGCCTCTTAACCTTATAAGGTCCATTTTATGACAAGTCTTCACAAGTCCAGGAAGGGAAGGGTGTGGAGGAGGGAGCAGCTCTCTCATCTCAACTCCCTGAGAGGCTGGTGCACACAGAAACACACCTAAGAGCTCCAAGAGGCCCCGCTCACTCTGCTGCCTTTCTCAGGCACACACTCATGCAGCCTGCACAGTGCAGGTCCGCAGAGGAATGCCAAGTTTCTTGCATGGCCAAAGGTCAATCTCTACAGGTGGGATAGCCGTCATTTAACTCCTGTTGGAATCTGCAGCGAGGGTTTCTGTTTGACAGGAGGCAGCCGTAAGCAAAGCATCCAGTTGTGAAGCTTTGTCACAGAGAATACTTTAAGATTAAAAATAATGAGGGAAACTGAATGCCATGTCGAAGAATGGCATTAAAATAAATGTTCACCTTGTGAGATTCATGCACGAGCAGAAAGAAGAAATGACTATAGCAAACAGGCAGGAGCAAAGGAACGGTGACAGCACAGGAGAGCTGGCCGCCCTGCTCTTCATCCCACACATCTGACCTTAGCCGTAAGTTTGGTGTTGACAAACTGATGTGAGCATACTCAGGGATATCAGACACCCTGACGGGCTGGGGGAGAAGACAGCAGGGTGGTGAGAACCCCCTCGTCTTTCACCCAAGTACCGAGGAGTCTGGAGATTCTCCTCCCCCTCCCTCACTTCTCTACCGGCCTTCTCCTCCTGCCCCCTCTCCCTCAACCAGCAAAAGGGATTGAGGCTGTGGCAGGGGTAGCATGAGTGTTACTCCCTGGGATTTTGAGAGAGTCCAGTGTCAGTGTCAACGTGCCTCCCCCTCCTTTAGCTCTGGAAATGTACTTAGATATACACAAAACACCTCCTGCAACTTTTAAATGATGAGAAGAGCCACCTGCGAAGCACAATCTTCGTGCTTTATAGTCACAGAAACACAGGCATGCAAAGGGCTCATGTTTATGAATTATATCCACACATACCTACGCGGAGCAGGTGGCTCTTGCACACATGCACGCACACACACGCACACACACGCACACACACGCACACACTACACAGAGGAATCCTCGCGATGCCTTCCCTCTCAGCCAGGCATCCAGCCACCTACCCACTCAAAGGTGTAGACCACAGCTGTCCTCTGAGGGACCTGATGGAGGGTGAAGGGTGTCACTTGGCCCTGCCTACTGCCTGGCTGTGAGACTGGGGCGAGCCCCTGAGCCTCTATGCACCTCCGTAAAATAGAGATAATCACCTGGCAAGGTACCGAGGACGAAGGGGAATAATATATTCAGGGCGCAGTCCTGCCGGGTTCCTTAACATGCCTTTCCTACACCCACGCCTGGGCTGATGGTGCCTCTCTGTCACTTGGTCCCCACCCTCGGCACTCTGGTCTGACACTGGGAAGAGTAGGGGCTAGACCCGGCTGTGCTCGGCACCCGGAGGGTCCCAGCCTGTGACCCAGCGCTAACCTTTAGGGCTACGCGGGGCCCGCGGGCCTGTGGGGAGCGCAAACGGGTCCCAAGTGCGTGGCCCGGTGGGCGGAGGGAGGAGCCGGCCGGCGGAGGTGGGCAGACCCCGCGGCAAGGCAACCCACGGTGTGGGTGGCTTCCTCCTGTTGCTCAGTATCAGGGAGCGGCGGGGGAGGACATTCATTTTTCCCCGAAGTATGCATCCACCTATTGCTTTGATAACATATCGATTGTGAAAAGCCGGCGGCGCCTCTTAAAGGCCAAACCCAGCTGCCGTGCCCCCGCGTCTGGGTTCGGGGACCCTCCTCCGGGACCTCTCTGCTGGCTGCGCGATAGTGATGAGCGAGCGCTTCTGCACCGGCTCGCCAGGAGCCCCAGAAACCGCAGTCATGAGCTGTGGTTTGACCCCGGCCGTTCACTCGCGGGTCCTTTTTTTCCCAGAGTATATCCCTCTGGGACCCGGTCACCTGCTCCACAGCGTGGCTTTGGCGCCCGAAGTTCGAGGACCGGGCCGGAGCTCGGAAACTTATTTCAAAAGGCAGACGTGTTGCAACCCTCGCCGCAGCAAACTACAGGAGCTGGCTGCCCTACTCTTCCCCACCCCCAACCAGCCGGGGCGACCCGAGCCCGTCGCAGGAGGCTGGCAGCGCAGAGAGCCACCCGCAAAAGCGCCTTCTCTCCCCTCTGCGCGCCCAAGTGCAGTGAGGTGGGGTAAGCCCCAAAGCAAACTCACAGCGCGGAGCAATCCCCAGTCCTGGCCTGGAAGGGATCCGGCTGCTGGCGATCGGCCTCCAGCCTGGCAGCTCCAAGAAATACTCGCGATTTCCTGCCCCAGCCTCCCCTCCTCCCCAGCCCCAGCCCTCCTGGCTGGGCAGCCGCGGCCCCTCGGTACCTGCGGCGGACACGGGCTCGCCCTCGCTCTGCTCCCCGGAATCCGAATCCATGCTGCAGGCTGCTTGCTGGGCGTCCACGACCACTTGCCCGTCTGCGGGGCGCTCGGGCTGCCGCGGCGCACTCGGTGCGGGCAGAAGCCGGGGCAGTGCGCTGCGGCCGCGGCCCGGGGGCTGCTCCGCAGAGGCGAGCGCCGCCCGCGCCCAGCTCCCGGTGCCCGCCGGCCGGTGCCTGCGCGCCAGGCGAGCGCGGGGCGGAGGGTGGGGCGCTCGGGAGAGAGCCGGGAGGAGGAGGGAGGCGCGAGCGCTGGGGAGCCGGAGCGTCCGGCGCCCGGCGGGGTCCGCGCTGGGGTTAAATACTCCGGGGGCGGCGCCACTCCTCCACACCCGCGCCCGGCGCGGCGAGCCCTTGAACTTGCGGAGCGCAACGAGGTTATGCGGGTCGGCGAGACAGAGCCCCTTCCTTAGGGTGTGGCCAAGTTTGCTGAATTCGGGGGTGAAAAAGCCCCTCTACTCGCGTAGGAAAAGGAGGGTTCCAAGTGTTCCGAGTTCTAGGGTTCCCGGGGTTCGAGTCTGACTTCAACGCTGAGTAGACCTTGGGAGAGACCTATGTGTGTCTTTTTCCTCTCCTGGAGGATTGGGGAGAAGGGGTGAGAATGACATTTTCCTTCTCCTAGGGACTGTGGGAAGTAAATAAGATACACAGGAGGGACCAAGCGCTGGGCCTGCTCCCAGAGAGGAAGCGGACCACACGGGGCAGGTAATGCTAACTCCAGCCGCTCTGGGTCTCCGAACTGCACGGGGCAGGTGGGGCCAGCCGCCGGGGGCTAGTGAGTGGGGACCCCTGGCTAGCCTGAAAGGCTGGGCCTGCCCGGCCAATCGAGCAGCCAATCAAGCGCCTGCGACTAGAGGGGCCAGAATTAATCTTGAAACGTCTTCTTTCTGGATGGGATTAAACGCAAAAGTGCTGAACTTCCTGAAACACCGTCATCCACCCACCATTTTCTTAAAAAAAAAAAGCATTTGTAAACCTATTTACTAATTAAGAACACAACCTAGGGGGAAAATTTATGGAGCAGTAAGATCCTTTTTTTTCTTTTTGTTTTGCACCAAGAGTCACACCGTTGCCCAGGCTAGAGCGCCATGGCATCAGCCTAGCTCACTGCAACCGCAGACTCTTGTGTTCAAGCGATCCTCCTGCCTCAGCCTCCTGCCTCGGCCTCCTGAGTAGCTGAGACTACAGGTGTCGCCACCACACCCGCCTGATTTTTATATTCTTGCTCTTGCCCAGACTGGTTTTAAACTCCTGAGCTCAAGTGATCCCCCTGCCTCAGCCTCCCAGAGTGTACAGATTGTAGGCAGGCATGAGCCACCACGCCCCGCCCTGTGTTGTTAATCCTTGATTATCCCTGCAGTTTTATTGTCCCCCTGAGTTAAGGCTCCAACACATACATAACCTCAAGCTGGCTTCTCTGTCTATAAAGTCTATCCGGAGAATGCGTAGTATGACCTGAATGGCAGGAAATCGGGGGGTGGGGGGGATGTTTCCTGTGTGCTCTTGTTTAATCTGTACAATGACCCACTGAAGAATTTAGGCTGAACCATTTGAAAATACTTTTTTGGAGGCAAAAAATGGTTGAAGGTTGGCAATTTCATAGAATCCAACCTACTAGTATTATCACCCCCCCTGCCCATTTTACAGATGTGGAAACTGAGTCCAGAGAGTAGAAAACTTCCCTGTGGTCTCAGGTCTTGTAAGTGGGTGTGAGCTGGGGTTGAAATCAGGGCCAATGCCCAGACCTGTTCCTAGCTGCTGTGCTGTTGTTGTCACAGGTGAGTTTGGCTTCTGCTTTCCCCGGGGGCTGCCTTCTTTGGTAAAGTTGTGGACACCACAGTGCAAATACAGTTCTACTCTGTGTTCTCAGAAAAAGTGTTCCGTGTGACTAAACTCGTGGACTGCAGAGATAAAAGTTGGATGGATTTCGATGAAATGATCACACTACATTTGTGATCTTGGGCAAATGGCTTAACCTTCAGCTTCCTCAGGTGTTGGCATCTCCTTCATAGGGTGATTATGAGAATGAAATAATGAGTGTGGAAGCAATTACCCAATGCGTGACACACAGTTAATGTTTGATAAACAGAAACAACATTAATTGTTAGATCTAACGGGTTCTATTTAGAAATACAAAATATTTTAAAATTGCATTTTTAAATAAAAAAGAAGAAAGTAATGCCAAAATTTGGATATAAGCTGATACTCAAATAACAATCAATTGGTCTTATGGAGATAGTAGAGTGACAGTTGCCAGAGACTGGGAAGGTTAGGAGAGGGGGGTGGGTGCAAAAATATAGATAAAGATAGAATGAACAATATTTGCCAACAATGTGATTATAATAAACAAGTTAGGGTATACTTAAGAATAACTAGAAGAGTGGAGTTGGAATGTTCCTAACAGAAAGAAATGTAAAGTGCTTGAGGTGAGGGATACCCCAGTCAATTACAGTGATTTGATTAATTCACATTGTATGCCTGCACCAAAACATCACACATACTCTACAAAGGTATACAATTATTAGGTACTCATAATAATTAAAAAGAAAAAAAGAAAAACAAAAAAAAATCAGGTCATTTAACAAGTTAGCCATATAGCTTTGCAGTCTTAACGTAAAACAACTATGCTAGTTTCACAGAACAGAGCATATTGGATTGGAAAGCATTCAGCTTCCCCTACAGGGCATGCCTGGAGTCAACAACAGGAAATGTGAAACTTTCTCTATTTCCCGAGACCTCTTTCCCTGGCACGTTTTGGAAGCATTTTCGGTTGTGTTTGTTTATATATTGTAATGGACAGGTGACCTGGGTTGCAGGCTGAGAGAGACAAAAGTACCATGGAGACATCTATGGGAAGGAAAAACAGGGAAGCTCACGTACTGGCACTTGATCAATGGTAAACAAAGTGCTGGGAATGCACGCCAGTTGGTCACTGGGGCTTTACTGTGTGCCTAGTACTAGGAGATGAGTGCTTGGGGACAAGGAGAAGGAAGAGCTGGTCATCGTGCCCTGAAAAGTCTCTGAGGTGAGTGCTTAGATAAACAACACCCATTCATTTAGCTGTTTCTGTAGGCACTCGTGGTGTATGTCTGCAAAGGGAGGCAACTGTAGAATGAAAAATTGAGTGTGGAATTAAACAATGGAGAGGAGAGATCCAAACAAAATAAGGTCTTCATTCCAATTTCCTATGACATGCAATCTGTTGTCATGGGACAGAACGACAAAGGGAAATGACTGCTGGCATGCATGTGAGTTTTAACGAAGAGCATTAGTGGAACATACTTTATCTGTCCTCCCAGTATGGAAAAAATCTGGGTAAGAGAAGGAAGTCCTTAAAATAGTACCCCAGACCATCACCTTTCCCCCTGCCCCAGCATTAAAAACAGAAAAGTCTGAGGTGGTGAATTCCCTTTGCTAACCAATTCTGGTGTATTTCTTAATAAATAGAGAGAGAGAGAACTGGAGACAAGGTTTCTGTGGTTCCTCTGTATATTTTTAGAAGAATGGCATCACTCTGCAGACTTGAATCTAGAGTCTGAGGGTTATAAACCACCTTCCTCAATATTTCCACTACATCTTTTCATCCTGGCAGCTCTTCTGACATATGAGTTTCTAACTCTCATTGGTCATTTTTTAACTTCAGCGAATGAAATTGTTGACTTTTTAAGGGAATTGTGAGTCTGGTGGGAAAAGCGTATCTATTTGTAAGGTGTCAAGAAACAGATAATAAAATAGATCCATTTCTGCTAACACAATAATACTCTTTTAATCTGAGCCAGCGCTATGACTCATCTGCCTGTCTCCTCTTGTGGGATGGAGAGGGAGCTGTCTGCAAGCCTTCAGCAGTGGGAGGGAAAGAGATACCTTTCACATGCTAGGGCTGCTGTGCTGCTTCGAGAGCCTACAGGCTCTGGAACTGTAGTTTTCTTTGGGCTGAAGTGCCTCCTGGTCCTTAGGGGTGAAAGCTTGGCCAAGACAAGCCCATTTTTAATAACTTGTCTCAAGGTAGACACTGGTCCCAAGGAAGCTTTTGTCCAGAGCTAAGGTGGCTTCCATGGGACTGTAGGCAAGCTGGACCACAGGGTCCGACCTTGCTTTACATCTACCCGATGGGACAGCATGCTGGAAAACAGCCTTGAAAGAGGGAATTTTCCTATTTATTTTGTTCTTCTTTTTTTTTTTTTAAACAGGGTCTTGCTTTGTCACCCAAGCTAGAGTAGAGTGGCCTCACCAGAGCTCACTGCAACCTCAAACTCCTGGGCTCAAGCAGAAGCCTCAGCCTCCTAACTTGCTGGCACTATAGGCATGCACCACCACACCCAGGGAATATTTTTAATTTTTTGTAGAGATAGGGTCTCCCTCTTGCTTAGGCTGGTCTCAAATCCTGCTCTCAAGCAAGTGTCCTGTCTTGGCCTCCCAAAGTGCTAGGTGTATTTCTTTCTTGCTGGTAAAAATAAGCTTTTATTATTCCTCTCACCCCACCTTTTATTTCAAGTGCAATTCACATCACTATAGAAAAACTGAAAAATACATATAAGCAAAAAAGAATAAAAAATCCATTCATAATTCTGCCAGTTGCAATTACTGTTAACAATACATCTTTTGAAAAATTTCCCTTTGTGTATTTCCCAGTGTCCTGCATTTGTAACTTGCTTTTTCCTTTTAACAATATATTATAAGCATCATTTTAACATGATTTTTTTAAATTTTGAGACAGAGTCTCACTTTGTTGATCTTGGTAGAGTGCCATGGCGTCATAGCTCACAGCAAGTTCAAATTCTTGGGCCCAAATGATCCTTTTGTCTCAGTTTTTCATTTTTAGTAGAGACAGGGTCTCATTCTTGCTCAGGCTGGTCTCAAACTCGTGAGCTCAAGTGAGAGGCCTGCCTTGGCCTCTGAGAGTGCTGGGATTCCAGGCATGAGCCACCATGCCTAGCCCATTTTAACATGATTTTTAATAGCTGCACAGTATCCTGTTGGGTGGATGGACCAGAATGTATCTAAACAATATTTTTGGACATTTAGGTTGTTTCTCATTTTCTGCTACAATAGCATCGGTAAACATCCTCATATCTAAATCTTTGCACACATCTTTAATCCGTGCCTGTGCA